CTTATTTATCTAAATATAAAGTTGAGGGCTAGCGATGCAGGGGTAGGCCTAGAACAACATACTTAGGGAAGAAATGGGTGACAGGGAGAGATCAGGGAAACATAGCTTTTTTGAGAGCATCCGAGCAAAGGAATGAATGGAAAACCATGATCGCTGATGTCCGTCGTAGATGAGACACTGGATGATGATGATGAATCTCTATTAAATGTAATTGAAAAGTCCCTCCAGGAAGCATTTTATAAGATATTTACAAAAAGCAATGATATTCTCCGCCTGCTTTAAAAAAAAACCTGCGAGATATAATAACTCTTTTGTCCCTATTCTGCCAGATTAAAGAAAATAATATCTACGGTCAATAGGATAATATAATATTATATTCTTCTTTTTTAGTGATTACGCTCCATGTGTGTGCCTGGTGTGTATAGAAGACTGTCAATGTCTAGTGTGTGTGTATGTGTGTGTGTGTATGTGTGTGAATGTGTGTGTGTGTGTGTGTGTGTGTGTGTGTGTGTGTGTGTGTGCGTGCGTGCGTGCGTACGTACGTTAGGAAGAGAGGGAGAGAGGGGGAGAAGCAGAGAGAGAGATAGAGAGAGAGAGATAGAGAGTGAGAGAGAGAGAGAGAGCGAGCGAGAGAGAGAGAGAGAGAGAGAGAGAGAGAGAGAGACAGAGAGAGACAGAGAGAGAGAGAGAGAGAGAGAGAGAGTAAATGCTCATGGACACACTATTTGGGTGACAGGGAGAGATCAGTGTAACTGATTTTTTCATTGTTGTTTTGTGTATCATTGAAAATGAACCCTATGAGCGCATGACTGTATTGATGCTGAATAGTTACAATATTATGTGAGGCAGCGTGGTGGAATCAGGCTCTCGTCAAAATAATGCATTTTTCCACATGTTTGTGAATTTTTTTCAAATTTTTGTTATTTGGCTCAACATCTTTCATGCCCATCAAAGAACTCATTTCTGTATGGAATTTTCAGAAAAACGTTGATTAAAGGCACAAAAATGTATATTTTCAGTTACCACGGACTCTTAAGCTAAGGAAATAACTAATCTTTGGTGACCATTTTCTCACCAATCTTACCTCTGAAAACAGGCGACCCCCACCCCCTTCATTCGCAAATATCTCGACTTGTATTCAAGATAAATGGATATTTTTTTTTTACCCAAATAAAGACAAATGAACAAGCTTTAAGATTATACCAATAACTCTACATGCCCAAAAATTAACGAGAGCCTGATTCCACCACGCTGCCTCACATATGTTTATTTTCTGGTATATCCACCCCAAATTTCCCTCATGGATCAACACAGTTTATTTTATCTAATCTAATCTAATCTAATCTAATCTTATCTTATCTTATCTTATCTTATCTTATCTTATCTTCTCACCTCACACCGTGCACATCTCTCAAGACCTGTTGCCACCACCTCCCCATGGGATGCTGGTCTCCGATGACGTATACAGCAGACGGCTTAATGTATCGCTTCGCCGCCATAATGGAAACGTAATGCCAAAATTTGAACACGTAGGTCCCAAAGATGACGAAATACACAACCTTCGGAACTTTGTTCGGATTTTTTAATGCGCATGAGCCTTTTTCTAAATGATCTAAGCCAACTTGACGGAAATACATTCTGCATACAATATCACTTTTCGCTGCAAACTCATCACACAACAAATCGGGAGAATAGTTTATGGCACTTTTATCGGAGGCTAAAAAGAAATCAATGTTAGGACAAGGCACATTTTCGTGTCCACTGGATTTCTTTTCAGGCCTTGACAAGTTTAACCTGTAGTGATCTTGTGATAAAGCCTGCAAGCTTGGTCTTAATGTATCTCCCGAACATGCCTGAGATACATACGCCAGCTTTATCATAAGAAGGGAAACGCCCAAACTGGCAACGAGAAGCACTGCTTTCTCGGATATTAACCTAGGAAGCAATCTACGCAGTCTGGGCCCTGTCATTTTTTGGGAACAGTTAGCAGCTTTTGGGATTATTTTGAAAGTAGCAAGACTTCCTGATGTGGTTCAAAATCTAAACTTGCAGAGAACAATAAAGCACACCTTTTTTTTCTTCAAAATCCGACACATGATAACTTTCTCCGAACTTGTCTTTCAGATTTCGTCCCTCCAGATTTTACACATAGTTGAATGAAAAGTTTCTCAGATTCCTTGGAACTGAAGAGGAAAACTGTCTGTTAGAAATACACAGGCCAACGGGCGAGACATACGCTTGCAGATGACTCTTCTTCGGGTGATGAAATTCTGAAAGGAAAGTAATACAAGAAACGTAAAGAGGACATTCAAACAATTCTGAATCAAGGACTACTATACTCAGTATGCTGAGTATAGAAGTCCTTGTTCTGAATATATCATTAAAAGAAAATTTGAGGAGATGTTAGGCTCATACAATGTTCGTAAAATATGACTGCCTAAAAACTCGTTGGTACATACGTCCACGACTCAAGTCATTCATTGAAGAAAAGAACGCTTTG